TTTCCCTGGGCCCTCACACACTCACTGTGCGCATGTCATTGCACGAGGCGAATCGTCAGCGACTGGCGCAGAAACTGAGAGAGAACCCGGAATGTGCCAAGGGATTAGTGGTGCTACAAGGCGGTGGCACCGAGGACCACTTGAGGTACTCCACGGATGCCGGGGAAGCCTTCAGGCAGGAGTCGTATTTCCACTGGGCCTTCGGTGTGTTGGACCCGGATTGGTACGGGGCTGTTGACGTGGATACTGGGAAGTCGTACCTCTTCATGCCCAAGTATTTTTTTTTTTAATTATCCCGATTTGGGTTCTTTTTTCCATTCGAGAAATTTCAGCTCGCATTTTTCGTGGATTTAGTTCCAGTTGTACCTCGTTTGAATAACTTCGGAAATTTGAAAAAGAAGGAAAAGGGACTCGCGGAATGATGTTTGCCGTTCAAGTTTTGAAAAGAAAAAATGTGATTTTCCGAAATACCTTTCTCCTTTTTTTCCTGCTGAGTTCTTGCAGTGAACCCAGCTTTTTTGAAATTTTGAAAAAGCCCTGTCTTGATTTTCTCTATAAGAAGCATCAGAGCATTTGTGTAAATTCCCTTATTTTTAATTATGTAACTATAAATGGGTAATGGAAAGTATGAGAGAAATTCATTTGTCCTGGCACATTTTGTGGCACCAGGTAAGGGTGGTACTAAATTACACAGTATTGTACAAGAGAAAAGTTTACCAGCGGGTTTCTACCATGTGTAAAATGAACTTATTTAAACCCTTGAAGGAACTCATGAGTGTTTCTCAGAGGATTGAGAAATGCGTATAAAGGAACTCTAAGGGTTTCTCAATTGACTAAGAAACCCTTGAAGGAAAAGGGTGTTACTAAATCATGGGTATTCTACAAGAGGAAAGTTTTCTTTTGGGTTTCTACTGTGTGAAAATGAACTTATTTGAAGAATTGTCAAGCCATATAGTTTATTGAGAGAGAGAAAGCAGCAAGAAATAAGTTTAAGTTAGAATTCACTATTTTACTCTTAATTAAATTTCAATGAATTTTATTGAATGGAATGGAAGTAGATTTTTACATATTTTATATCTTGTGAAAAGCTAAGATTTTCCTTGAAGTTATGTTTGAGTTGTGTGTTACCATCATGCATGAATCACTAATGATTAAAGGAGAGCTCCCTTTCATCTATAATATTTTCAGAAATGGAAGGTGTTGTGCATCAACAAACGTATTTATTAACAATTAAAATTCAGAACTGGAATGTTCAGAATTATCCGAAGTTTTTTGTGAACATAGGTACATGATTCCCAGGAATAACCTATTCAATATTTAGAAAAAGGGCCTAATTTTCTTGAATTCATAGCCAGAAGGCCTCCAGAAAATTTTGGTTGTGGAGGTTTTTCATGAATTGTTTCTAAGGGAATTCAGACAGGAACTGAAAAGCAATTTCGACATAGGGAGATGCAGTACAGTATTTGACTTCGGAAGGAACGAGTTATTAAGGTTCAACTGTACTGTTTCTGGCTTATATCCCTCAGAAATTTTCAGAAAAGGAAAGGAATCCTGCTTTTTGGCTAGAGTGGATCTATATTATAGGACATACTTTACTGTACCTTGGAAACTCCTTCATGTGCTATGAGTCAGCTCAATTCTTTCCAATTTCTTGGAAAAAAAAGGAAAAAATACAATGTTGTGGCTCTATTTTTGGTACCGTTTTCAGATTGCACGAGAGTTACGCTATTTGGGACGGAAGAATCAAGACGCCGGAAGAATTCAAAAAGCGTTATGGAGTGGATGAGGTCTACTACTTGGAGGATATGACGAAAGTATATGAAAGACTGGGAGGAGTTCACGTACGGACTTCGAAGTAAATCTTTCGGATCAATTTTTTGCGTAATAGCTGTTAAGGTGATGATGAAATTCAAGTGTGGCAGCACTTCTGATTATTTCAATTGGCGTCTCTCTTTTTTTAACAGCGACATTTATGATTATATCCGTATTATCCCTTTGTTCCTTTGCAAAGAAAACTTGCATCTGTGGATTCTTCTGGCTATATCTTTGATCTTTGAAAAAGTTATACAGAAAATATAATTTTTCAAAAGTATTGCAAGTTACCCGAATAGTAGGGGTTTTCTCCATGCACCTCATTGAGGCAAACAATAAGTGATTTCCCACGCATCATTTTCAATTTGTTTTATTTTTTTAACCAATGGCGAGTGAAATGAGTCAATTTGGAATTTAGTACAGTATTTCTCCCACAGTGCAATGTTAAAGAAGTTTGGGGAGACTTCATTATGACAGCTCTTAAATTATCTATTGGAGGAGCACTTCACAGTATGCTACACATTGCTCTCAAAATTATAGTGTGAAATGTGTTAAAAGGTTAAAATCCACGAATCTCAATGAACAGAATATTTCCTGCAACACTACGAAAAGTTTTCGTTGTTACGAGATATTATTGTGCATGTCAGACGTGTTTCTCAAGTCATGATTAATTTCCTCTCCACAATCAGGGAACTGGACGAAAGAAGCCGTTTACCAAGGCTTTGGGGAGTTCAAAGTGGACAACCAACTCTTATTCCCCGTCTTGTCCGAAGTCCGGGTGCGGAAAACCGAGGAAGAGTTGGACGTGTTGCGGTTTGCGGCCCGCGTGTCCGCTGATGCCCATGTCGAAGTCATGAAGCTGGCCCGACCCGGCATGATGGAATACCAATTGGAGGCCATTTTCAAACACTTTGTCTTCTTTTTCGGCGGGATGCGACACGTGGCTTATACTTGCATCTGCGGATCCGGTCCGAACGGAGCTGTTCTTCATTATGGCGGGGCTAATGCACCGAATGACAAAGTTGGTACACTTTGAAAAATGTGGAGATGGACGATACCTCTGATTTACTCGTTTTGTATACGACGCGCGCTTGTCCCAACATTTTCAACAATTTCGTCCGAATCCGCGTTTTGGAAATCATACATTCAAATAACTCCGTTGAGAAACCCCCAGTAAGCCGCCACCCTCGGCAACCGCCGGTTTTTATTTAAAAAAAAAAAACTTCAATGATAATGGCATTGGAAAGCCCCTGAAAACGCCATCCGCCAAAATTATTAACAACTCACGTAAAAGTTAAGCTCCTGTCAAATCAATTTCTTCTTCAATTACCCGCCAACAAGATTGAAGTTTTTAGGACTACATAAAAAATAAAAAAACACGAACGCAAAGATGACGTAATTTACCCCTTGATAAAATTTGCTGGATGTACATAATTTACGCATCCCAGCGTTGAATTTGATTGATTTTCTAGAAGAATAAGAATTTTCGGTACTTTCTCTGTACCTACTTTCCTGTCATCTCTATACCTTCCCTCTGACCAATTTAACCTGACCTAACCTAACTTCACCTAACAGCCTCTCAAAATCAGTTTCTGCTTTCTTGGGGTTTCTGCTGAAACTGATTTTTGGAGGCGGTTTGGTTAAGTCAGGTTATGTTGATTAAAAGATACATGTAACTAACATAACCTGACCTAACCTAACTTTACCTAACTGCCTCCCAAAATCAGTTTCAGCAGAATGCGGAAAAATAAAATTCACAGTTTCTGGTAGGTCATTGTGATTATGCACTCGTCCTAAAGATTTGTCTGGATGGTAGTGCGGTCTAGGAATGAGGTACAGAGCTAACAGGAAAGTACCGATTTTTCTTTCCTATACTTGATTTTCATATTATTTAGCTTTTTGATGAAACTGGTGGCGGCTTTTTCTGGAGGTTTGACCGTACCTTTGAATCTCACTCTTACAAATGGCTCAATATTTTTTTTCTTATCCGAGAGGTGGTGAACGACGGTGACATGTGCTTGCTGGACATGGGAGGCGAGTACTACTGCTACGTGTCCGACATCACGTGCTCTTTCCCCGTGAACGGAAAATTCACCGAGGACCAAAAGGCCGTCTACAACGCCGTCCTTCGTGCCAACAAGGCCGTCATGGACAGCGTCAAGCCCGGGGTGTCCTGGGTCGACATGCATGTGCTGGCCAACCGAGTCATCCTGGAAGACCTGGTTAAAGTCGGCTTGCTGAGGGGCAAAGTCGACGATATGATGAAGGTTTGGGATCCTTATATTCAGCGAGTCGACGCATTATTTGTGTTATCTCATGAAATGCTTGCCGCGGAAATTTTTCGATGTGTTCAGAAAGCGATATCCTATTACAGTACTGTTAGTATGTGGACACTTCAAAAAAAAAATTAAGGGGACCAAAAGAAATGTAGGAAAGTCATTAATGAAGGACCTTTGTAGCACAGAAGCCACAAAGAATTACAGTAGGACCCCGAAATATGGACGATTTGACTTGATGGCACTTCACTCAGAAGAATCTACCCTAACATCAGGACAATGACTCGAATTACGGACACTGCTAAAATTTATAAAATTAAAATTAAATTTTTTATAGGTTCAACAAAATGAGCTACATATTCATGCTTAAAAATAATTAAAAAAAATTATAAATCTACTCCAATTTATAATTTAAGCAGGCTAATTTTGTGCTTATACAGTATTATCAGAGTATTTTCCCATTATCTCTGCTCAGTATAGCAAGACTTGTGCTTGTTCTTTTCTTGTTGTGCTCCTGTGCATGCTGAACGATCAAATTTTGTGTGGTTTTCTTTTGCACCACGATTTGAGGTCGAGGGAATTACAGTGAGACCCCGAGATGCGGATTTAATTGGTGCATCAAGAGTGCCCCCAAGTCGAAATGTCCCATTTTCCCTTACTCACATTATATAATTTTTGATTGGTGTTTTATGTACAAAATACTCACCATAATTCTATGAAAATAAAATTTTTCTCCCAATTAAAACTGATCCCAATCAGTATATTTCAACACAATATGGGCATTTGGGGAATTGAATACTGAAACCTCTGTACAGTACATATAGACGTGTTGGCATTTTCTGTAAAAATAATATTCAAGTGAAAAAGAGGGAAGGAAGTCCCTCCATGCTTGAGGTGATTTTTTAAAATTAGCTAAATGGATGGTAAATCCGTTAGAGAAATGCCCAAGAACTTTTCTTACATCAATTTTAGGGTTGGAAATATCTGTTTCTTATAATTTGGCCTGAAATGTATTTGCAATTTTATAACAAAATGTCCCTATGTTGAGTCAGTGTCCTTGTGTTGGGCCTTCTTCATTATTTTTTCATGACAAAATGTGTCCCTATGTCGAATTGTCTGCAGGTCGAGGTGTCTGCATGTGGGGGTCTCACTATATTCCTGATGTCTATAATAAGAGGCCAAATAAATGTAAAAATAAAACGATGGAGGGAGATGTTTGACTTGAGCAGGTTCGAGTTGTCGAGGTTCAACTGTAAACCCTTTTGAATGGTATGCGTAGGTGAATTTGGGCGCGACTTTCCAGCCCCACGGCCTGGGCCATCTCATGGGCTGCGACGTGCACGACTGCGGAGGCTACTTGGACCACTGTCCACCCAGACCCCAATTACCTGGTCTCCGGAGCCTGCGAACAGCCCGAACGCTAGAATCCAACATGGTCATCACTATCGAACCCGGGTGCTACTTCATCGACACTCTGTTGGACCAGGCCATGGCTAACCCGGAATTGGCCAAGTTCTTCGTTCCGGAAGTGTTGCAGAGATTTCGCGGATTCGGAGGAGTGAGGATTGAAGATGATATCGTGGTGACCGAGACTGGGATGGAGTTGCTGAATGTTGGAATCCCGAGGACTGTGGAAGGAATTGAGGCCGTGATGGCGGAGGGGAAGAAGCTGAATGTTCGAATGCCGGAGAAACTGTTGACTGGCTTCAAGAAGCCGTCTTCTAGCTGAGAATTCAGTTATTGTTCTCCCACCACAACAGTAAATGGGTTCCCCCAGCAATTAGTTGTTTTTGTTTTTTCTGCGTTGCGGCGTTTTCTTTTTGATTTGTGTACACTACATGTAAAATGAGCTTCACTTTGGGACTTCCGAGGATATGGATTGTATTTTGGCGGCGATCTTTTGCTGGGATTACGGATGAGGAAACATTCACCGAATTTCTTTGTGCATTGAAAATATTGAAATGCATAGACAATATATCGGATTGGCTATTCTTGATTCAATTTGCCTTCATTTTATTTGTAACTGTTGATCCAATTTCGATATCATTTGGTATGTCCATAAAAGGTGCTGCAAGAACTCAATCACTAAACTTGTTGATCATGTCACTTGTTTCTCCCATTTTCAGGAAATTCTGAGTGTTGCCAGGCCAGGAAAGGTGGGTCATGGTCATAACCTTTTTGTGTGTTTGTGCTGAATATGTGCCATACAGGTGCTGGAATGGTTACAGTTGCATTCATGCAGTTTGAAATTTCTCCATCAAATGTTTTATCTTGCCTTCTCCCTCAGCACAAAGTGAGTCAGTTCTAAATGTCAGTGCAGCAGTTGCCTTCTAGAAGAACCCTATTGGTTTACCAGGACTTATGAGATCTTTGAAATTCTGTATGCTGGGGATATGTTCTTTTTTTACATATAATCACCACTGTACAGTTTTTGATGTAGAACATTCTTCACCATTTTGAAAGATCTTGCTGACTGCTTCTGAGAGTTTGCAGACTTGTGCAGTAAAAATTATCTTTTGGTGAAGGTTTGCAATTCTAAGATGAGTGGCCAGCTTCATGTGTTAATGATTTCCATCATAATCTAGAGTGAAGGAGTATGCCACCCCTTTTGATATGAGCCTTTGAGATACAGGTGGTACCCTGCAATTTGACCCTAATCTGTTGCTGGACCAGGGTCAAATTGCAAAATGGTTAAATTGTGAGATGCTCCATAACATCAAGGACAAACAGACCAAAAACACTGGAGAAGAGGCCAAAACAGGTCAAATTTTGGGACAGAGGTCAAATTGCAAGTTGGCCTCCAAGCAAATGTGACTTGAATTGCAGGATGGTCGAATTGCAAGGTACCACTTGTGTTAGAAATGCAGCTGGACTGTCTCTTCAACAAAATTCAAGGAACCAGGAAACATTACTTGCAGAGAATTTTGTTGTTGACAAGATCATTTTAGAGAAAGAGAGAGGGTCTGCCTGTATTACTTCAGGAAATGTTCCTGTGCTAGCTGCTGATTGGTGATGTAAACTAACTACTGTACAGTGAGGCCCAAGATGAAGATATATAATTTGTTCTTTGACCTTCTGATGGAATGTGCACATGTTGGATCCCGTTTACCCACTGACTTCATTATATGGGTCTCAATATTCAATTAGTTCCCCTGCTTTTCATAAAAAATTATTAAAAAGTCCCACAAAAGACAAAGAAAATTGTTTTCTCAGCATCAAGATGAAGAAAATTGTCGTACTGCCGAAAACCACACTGAAACCGACCTTCTTGCGTGCAAATGAGCCAAAAAAAAATGAAGAACATTGCACATGCATTGCTATATGCTTTGTTCAGATGATGGAAGAAAATCCAGAATAAGAAGCAAAAAGTAATCTGTTTTGAATTATAAACTAGAGTAAATTTACAAAAAAATGTATTTTTAATTTCTGTGAACACAGTAAGTAGCTGAATTTGTTCAGAAGATATCCAAAATTGTGAAAAATGAAAATTTTGCATTTTCTAGAAATGTCGACTGATCGTCCGTATCTTGGGATATTGTATAGGTGTTAAGGCATATTTTTTGAGCTTCAAGTGTCCCCAAGTCATATTTTTTGTAGGATGTCTGTCTGATGTGGCCCCACTGTCGATTTCCACTGGGCTAAATAATTTGATGGGACAAGAGTACGTCATCATGCTCTTTGTCATCATTTCAACTTCTAACTCTCCGCCATGATTGTTTCGCTGAGTGCGCTGGCGGGTTGTTGCATTTACTGACCACATGTGCGAGTTTGTGGGCGGAATTTCCCGGGAAGTAAAATTATGAGGGTACCCTTATATTGTAATATGACTCATTGCTTAGCCCCGCATGCTATCTCGTGAATCTGTGCCTATTTGCTATTTCACGTGTGTTATTAATCGTTGCGTATCTATTTCCGGAAAAGTGTCACATAAATATAAGAAGTGTCACATAAATATAAGAAGTGTCACATAAATATAAGAACCGCAGAATTGCTGCTTCGTGTGTTTTCTGAACTGACGGTGTGACAAGATCGATCTTTGTAGCTATGGGATTTGCGATCCTCAGTTAATCCACTTATTATGCTATAGTTATCTCTATATGTGACGTTTATATACAGATCGGAGTGTATCTCATGAGTGCGAACGGATTACTCTGCAAAGTGCAAACGCTTTCCGATGTTATAATTCTGCTGCGATATTCGTACGAATCTCAAGATCGTATTCCCGCTTAGGAGGAAATATGATCCTTCCTGTTTTGTTGGAAGATATTTGACTTGAGAGTTATGCATTATGCTTGCTCCCGTTTTCTCGAAGTTCCTTCTCGTAACACAATTACAATATTTGACTATGCGATATACTCGATAAATTGATTCACTGTGTTGCTCTTGCTCGAAGATGACAGAGACTGTGTCTCAGCGCAAAATTGCTCGAGTGACTAATAATAATACCGGGCACGAAATCGAGCGCCAGGCCATTCGCGCAGGATTCACTCGCAAAGAACGCGAGTTCCGACGCCTTTATCCTCTCGTCACTGACCGCGCTTACGACTCCTTCGACGGTGAATCCGTGCGCAATCATGACCTCATGACAGGTACCATTTTGCACGCCGCATGCGCGGGTGGGATCGTCTGGGCAGTCGAAGACCTTCTTTATGTTCACGGTGTGGATGTCAACCTGAAACGAAAGGTGGACGGTGCTACGTGTCTCTATGTTGCCTGTGCTCAGGGTCGGACGGATGTCGTGGAGTTGTTGCTCAAGTACGAACCTGATATCCTGAGCACAGCGACTGGGAGCAGAGGTGTGATCGGGGCTGCGATGACTTGTCCTGTGGCATCCCGCGATGAAGTCCTCAACCTTCTCAAGACGTACATGATCGGTCAGGGACTGGTTATTCCATGTTTGTGTGTTCTTAAATTCGAACTTCTCTCATATCGTCCGCGTGATATAGCCAAGTACGGTCCTTTTGAAGCCAGACTCGTGATCCGCCTGACGTGCCACGCTTTCGGAAACCGTGCGCTAATTGCACCGCTGATGACTGCTGCGGCGAAGGCCTGCGAATTGGGCATTGAGTTGTTGGTATGGGCTGGAGAAAATATCAATCACTTGGGTTACCATGGTAAAACTCCTCTGCTCTGGTTGGCCTCGTGTGTCAGTTTCGAAGTCACACCTTCGCATTATCACGCGAGTGAGTTCAAAAATGTTCGGATTAAATGCAAAATCAGCTCGTTGGAAGTCGAAATCCCGGGTGAAGCATCACTTCAAATTTTGATTTTCAAGCGGGACAATTCCGATTGAGAGTTCATGATTTCCATTGTTTTGGGATTTTACACGATCTGGTTTCATATAATCAGCCATGTATACTCTCTATATTCCTTCAAAAAATTATAGTAAACAATTTTCCTCTGAAAATTTTCTCTTTGATTTCGCGAGTGTATGTGGAATATTTAAACCTTGCTATGATGAGTGCTGGTTGATGAGGTCAAAATTCCTTGAACTCCAATTCTCACTCAGTGTGTGATACAGTGTAACCTCAATAACTCGAACCTCCGCAAGATTATATAATAGGTACCTCAAATGTAGAATTTTTTTGAAGTCCCTGTCTGGATTCCCATAAAAAATATGCATTATAAACGCCTCTCTATTTCAAAGGCTTTCCCCCTCAAACCTACAAAACTCGAATTTTCTGGCGGCCATTTGGCTACTATACAGTATTTTGACGACATAGCAGGAAATAGACAAGTGATACAAATGTAACGACGTGTTCTGAAAGAAAGTGAACGAGTGATTATGAACGAATGAACCTTTGCCTGCAAGTTCAGCATTCTGCAGTTCAAGGCGAAAAAGATTACGAATTTTAGTTTCATTTAATTCATATTTATTTCTAGCAAAAAGAGCTTTTGCCACTTTCTTTCCCTGACTCGATTTTTGTTTTGTTTCGCTGGTCCCTTGAAGTTCTCTGCTTGAAGAGGTTGGACTTACCACAATCCCGACTATGTTGCATCTTCTATCCCTTGCATGAGATTTGATTTACCTGAATATAGAAGAATACTTCTCCAACGGCGTATTTTAATCGTTGACCTCCTTGATTATCGGATTTTTTATTTAGAAAGTGTATGCATTTTTGATCAAGATAACCGTTTGACTTCCCATCAAGCTACAATTTCCCCGGAGATGATGGCATTAGCGACGCGATGTCTGGTGAAACACGGCGCGAATCCGAACTCGCAAGTCCCGGAGAACAGGAACGCTCCTTCGGACGAATACGGCATGACTGCGATGCATTTGCTGACCAAGTATCGAAACGAATCCTTCGTCCTACTCATGTTCCAGGCCTTGTTGGATTGCGGCGCGGATCCGAGGATCCGCGACGGGAAGGGCCGCACTGTCTTTGATATTGTGGAGCAGAAAAACAGGAAGAAACTCGGAGAACTGCTGGTGAATATACGAAAGCCTGTATAAATTTTAATCTCTTCGCAGGAAACGATGCAGATGATGAGAAGTTATCTTGGTTATACTGTACCATCGGCCGTGAATTGAGAAACAAATTTAATTCCTTTCATCGGTGGTCGGTTTTTTGCTCGAGGCGTTCGTTATGTATGGCAAAGTTTCCCTTGTTAACCGAAAGGGATTCGCTGAATTGGTTCCGGATTGAAAAATTATTAAAATGAGCTGAAGATGAGCATGATAAATTGAAAAACAGGCAAGAGAACGAAGAAAATATTATTAACTATAAAAACTTTCAGTTGAAAATTGAAATTAGAAGTACGGACGAAATTTCAAGTCCTTCGGGATACTAATTTCCCGCTGAATTCAATTTTTTTATTCCGATTTTCGTCCATCGTTGGTGAATACATGTACAATATATATTGTCATGAAAATGGGAATATTCTTAATATTGGAATTATTGCATGAAAAATTTGAAAAACATTTTTTCTGTTTTCTTTTCTCTTTTATTTTTCGTGAGAGAGTTTAAAAATGGAATTTTTTTTAGTTTGAATTCTGTATAGACTTTAGGATCTTATGTTTCTCACACATGGTAAAAATTTCAAAATTTTTGGATCACCAGCTTTCTTGTAATTATGAAGATAGAAGCAAAACCCCTTTTGCTGGGGGCAAGGAAAACACGAAGTATGCGATTGAAGCGTATTATACAACTTATGAAGTGAGCTTGTGAGCATCTTTTGAATTGTAAACTTCATCAAACTAGTGCTGATAAAGCTTACAGTTTACTACTGGAAACGAACCATGAGATACGAGGTTTTCTTTTTTATTTATTTCTTGTCTAGCAGTGATTCTATCTTCGTGTGGCTGAAATTTCAAAATTCCCAGTTACGAGCCCCTTATATGTTTGGTCTTGATTATTTCCACAGAACAAGGCGCTGATGAGGAAGGAACTCGAGGACGAGGGTTTAATTACGAAATTCCTGCCGCTTCGGACGAGTTCATCTTTTGCATACTCGGAAAAGGGACCATAAATGTGTCGCGATTTTCATTCAACCCGATGCTGCTGGTGACGATCTGTGCTGTGTTTCATCCGTGTCGTTATTTCCGGGCATTCTATATTTTGTGTTTGGCGGCGAAGTGTAAACGGCGAGTGAGCTGAGAAGTGAAATTCTTGATCAGCTGTGATAAAGTGGAGTTCTGGTGTTCTTGGAAAAAAGGAATGTGTTGAGAGTGTCACTGGTCATGATTTAAGTGTCGAAATTCCTGGGATTTTTGTGTTCCTTTTTTGTCTGTCGCTGCTGTCACTGAGAAGCATGTGGAGTTCCACGTGAGTACCGTATATGAGAAGCAGCATATGCTCGAATTAATTTGAATTAATGAGACGCCAGAGATACTATAAACAGTATCCTTTCCCAGACATACCATATAATATGTTTTGATTGAAAATTAAAACACACACGTGCTTTCACGGCCTCAAGATGGCGCCACGTTCTGCAACTTTTGTTGCCTTTTGGTGCCCAACAGAATCATCAGCTCTGCGAAACGTTTTTGTGCAGGACTAGTGAACCTTGCCAAAATCTTGTTTGGGAAAGCCCACTCTGAACCATTCTCAAGGTTAAATAAGTGTTCTTCACCTGTCAGATAATTCAATTGGCTTTCTTTCAAGAATCTATGAATGTTTTTTATAGCATTCATTTCTCTTTGATAGGATGAGTTGGAATAATGGGCCATGTGAAGCACTGGTGGATGATGAGCAGGGTTTTATGCCGATTGGGGTGTTGCAATAATTTGTGGTGGTAGAACCATTTCTATGCACTGCGGTTGTTCATGATCTATTTATCGCTTGCTAAAACAAATACATTATTGATAGCAATAAAACAATGACAAAAAAGTCAGAGGCGTAAATTCTCATCAACTGCAGAAAGCCATTGAGATGTACCAAATGGAAAAAAAGAGCATAACCCTGACCTTCCTCGCTTTTCCAACAATTCCTTGACCATTCACAGACCCATGAACACTGCATAGATGATTACTCCTTAATCCTTTATTTCCACAGATGGAGAAGAACCTTTTCAAGTTCCCTATCCAAATTGAGTAATTTCATCTTCACTTGACTTATTCTCATCTTCAATGGTCTCTATAGACTTAGAAAGAAGGAAAATACTTTCTTGATGAACATGACCAGCAGCAAGCAGCCCAAGGAAGAATCCCTCCCAATTTATGACCAATGCCTCGCTGATGCTCTCGTTAAAACCGGTAAAAAATATTTTTGAGTTTGAAAAAAAAAAAAACAATTACAGATAGCTCACTTCACCTCGGGGGGTTTTATTCATCTTTCAGGAATCAGTGTTGGGATAGGATCAGCTTTGTCCGTCCTACTTTTCAAACGTGGGTATTTGTGAGTGATTTTTTTTTTTAAGTGATGATTGAATTACTTGTGAAACTTTTGCAGGGAAATACTGGCCGGTGGTTTTTGGTGCGGGATTAGGCATAGGAGTCGCCTATTCCAACTGTCAACATAAATTCAGCAAGCAAGATCAAGTTCAAGCTTATCGCGTCAGAGCAACAGTGAGTTCACTAAAATACTGAACACTTCTTTGTTATGCTTCATATGAAGAGTACAGTACTTTGTATTGGAGCAAAAAAAAACTCAAATAACAATGTAATGAGGAAGGAGAAACATAGAACTTCTTCACAATACCCTAGAAACTAGTACAAGGAAACATGAACACTCATATCGAGTAACTCCTTTTTACTCAAACAAACTATGTACGAGGGTTCTAACAAAAGTTCTTGGAGTAGCAATGAAAATGGCCTACAGTTGACCTGAAACAAATTTTTTCTTTAGGAAAAACATATTCCTTGGCACTTGAAAAAATATCAGCCCTGTTTGACAACTTTTTTTGAATTTTTTTCATAGTTAACCCTACTGGTAGAGTTTTACTCTCCACTCAAAAGACCAGGCGCCCTTTTTTTTGTTGTAGCCCAGCTTTCCCCTCAGAATTTTTGGAATCAACTCGACATTCTTTCTAAGGGTTGCCTCCAGGTCATCCAAGGCAATTCCGCCATTTTTATTGACAGCCGCCAAAGTGGCGGCCTATTTGGCGGCTGTGAAGGCGGCTTTTGATGAAAGTGGCGGAATTGCCTTGGATGACCTGGAGGCAACCCTTAGAAAGAATGCCAAGCTGATTTTGAAAATTCTGAGGGGAAAGCTGGGCTAAAACAAGAAAAGGGCGCCTGGTCTTTTGAGTGGAGAGTAAAACTCTACCAGGGTTAATTATGAAAAAAATTCAAAAAAAGTTGTCAAACAGGGCTGATATTTTTCTAAGTGCCAAGGAATATGTTTTTCCTAAAGAAAAAATTTGTTTCAGGTCAACTGTAGGCCATTTTCATTGCTACTCCAAGAACTTTTGTTAGAACCCTTGTATGCCACCAAGATAAAATGTTCAAAAAAATCATTTTTGCACCATGAAAGACTTTTTGCTGGAAAGCCACCTAGCATTGATTTGTTGGTAAATACTGTATTAATACAGTTCCAAAAACTGAACAAACAGTATGAAAGTAATGAAACACACCAGAAACTCTAAAAATATGCTCACGGGGATGCAACTACAGTAAAATCTTGTTACAACACACTTGTGGGAACTTCAGAAAAAGTTAGTTATAAAAGTAATTTGTTTTAGCAAGATTTTCAAATTTTTTGACTGATAAAATTTTCTGTTTTTTCTTTTGTTGCAAAACTCGAGTTTAGAACCAATGAAGCAACTGCAGAAGAATGTCTGAATACTTGAAAAGATGGGCTTGAAGAATTTTCCTTAGAATAAAAAAAATTGAAATAATTTATTTCAGCAAGGGAAAATTAGTCATGAAATGTTATAAGGAGAAAAGCCAACTTATTTTTTCCATCAGATAATTTCTACTGCCAATGTCTCCCCAAAGTTTCAGATAAAGATAACAGACTTCATTGCCACTTACCATACATTTTGTATGCTGAAGAAAATTTCTCCAGGCCTGGCAAAAAAACAACCGGTTGGGGAACACTGATTTACTCCAACACATTGACCTATTTTTCTTTTCAGTGAAAACGGCGTCAGTTTCTCATAATTTCCACAAATCCTCAGAAAAATCAATAAATCCCTTTGAATAAATTTTCTAGGACACAGCAACGTTGAAAGCTCTCAAGCTGCGGCCCAACAATGAAGCATCACCAGACGTGGTTCAGCCTCAAGGTGAAGCAGCATCCAATCACTTCTCGCCGCTTTTGGCAGACCCCCCAGCAGTGACAAGTGCGACATATGCTGTCAATCAAGTTTCCCACGAAGAGCAAGTCAGATACGAACCACAACCAGCAGCAGAAGGAGTGTATGATTACCAGGCGTATCAGACAGCTTACAACAACTATTATCAGCAGAGTCAAGCGTTTCAACCAGCGCAATATCAAGACCAGCCGCAGCAAGCTTACAGTCCGCAGACAACGCATCAGCAACCAGCGAATTCAACCATGTATCAGCAGCAACAGAATTATGCTCATCAACTGCAGCAACAGCAATTGCAGCAGCAGCAGGTGGCAGTGGATGCAGCTGCCTTGCAACAACAGCATGATTACTACAATCCTCAACATCATGGGCAACATCACTATGGGTACAATGGACAGCAATGAGATCATGTATTCTGGACATCAATGATATTTCTTCATTTTTTTCATGCTGGAAGTTATTCTTTCCATTTAATCGCCTCCTGAAACAATTGCCATTTTGAACTCCACTCTACTAAATTTCTTCAATTTCACTTGAAACAATGAAAACTAAGGAAATGTTGGATGGTTTCATTTACATCACACGTGACAATTGTTCTGAGAATGGATTGAACTCAACGAAATGCACACAAAGAGAATGACAACAGAACGGCTTGAATAAAAAAAAAATTTTAATAACCAAAGGCTGGTAATCCCAGTGTTCCCCAACCATTTGTGGGTTGCGGACCAGCAAATTTTCTTTAATTTTTTTTGGACCAGCAAACCTCCCAAAAACTTTCTGCTGACCCACAAAGTTTCAAGCAATTTTGCAGCCTCAAGAAAATTTTGCTTGCAAGACTTCATGGCTGGCATTTATAAAAGTTAAGCTGTTACACAAACTGAAGTAGCTATACAGTGGAATGTCCTCAAAATTAGAAAGGTTTCTCAGAATGTAATCAGAATGAAATAATGTATTTCAGCATTTGAAAATTTGTCTGAAGTGTTGGAAGAAGAAAAGCTGGTATTTTTAATTTTTTTTTCATCAGATAATGTGAATGGCCATTGTCTTTCCAAAATTTCAGATGAAGATAGCAAAATTCATTGCTACTTTTGTTAAATTATCAAACTGCAGAAAATTTATGTGGACCAGCCTTGGTCTGTGGACCACAGGTTGAGGAACACTGGTTTATCCAGTTTCATTGATAAAAATGCCTGTTCTTCTTTAGCGTAATACTCTCATTGGATGCAGAACAGTATTTGCCTCTTCTCAATAAAGAATCTCTCTGTTTTGAATTGAGTAATAAATTTGTCAAATTTTCAGAAGATTGTTAACCACGCTGCCACCAAAGTCGCAAACCTTGTGAGTTACCCCTCATCGCACCTTCTCTTGCAAAAAAGTGATAAGTTTCCTGGCATTTGCTAAAGGGCAACTGTTGCCCACGCAAACCTCTCTTACTGAAAAACAACTTGAATAATGGGTAATGCCGTATGTCAGTTTAATTGTGTTTGAATATAATCTGGAGGACCCTTCATGCTGACTATTAAGTTTCCACCCTTCAGATATGATTGTCAGTGTTTCCAACGGCAAGATTTGCAGGGAACAAATGCCAGATGGCATTTTTTTAATCCTTGCTAGAACTTGCAAAATTCTGGTATGAAACTTTTTCCAAAACGTGTGGAAATTCCTCAAAGAAATGTCCTTGCTGTGGTTTCTGCCCTGAAGTGACATTGACAGATTTCATCAAGTTTCAAACCTTCATTTACCAACATTGAATGCGTTTGTGAAAAAGTTGCGAAATATGTGGAGTCGACTCAACTGTGAATGTTGTACGCAGATGATTTTTGTTTTTGAAGCGCGACTGGCCGCGATTATACTCACGGTATTTTTATTTTCAGCAATCCTCATGAAATTATCAATTTATCGGTTTAATCACTCATTATTACTTCATTTACTTCAGGTTTTTCGTGGTGAAATTCATTATTGATATGTTCTATGATGTTCACGCACTTTTGAAGAGAAAACTTGTGAAAAGAAGAACGAATCATCGAACGGGAAGGAAAAACAAAATACGTTGCAACTCATTCAACTCAGGTAATTAACCTCATTGATTCTGGGACTGAAAATTAATTAGCTATCAATTATGAATTTTTTTTTACTGTGGGCCCGCCTATACTCAGAATAAAATGATGAAAATTATTACTTGGTTACAACACTTTTCGTTTTCATCTTTTGTGTTCGCGCTGTTCAATAAAAAATTACGTATGATTTAAATATTGAGTATCCCTTGTTTCCGACAGTTGCGAAGAAATGTCATGCTGCGTATTTTCTTGAACGCTAAACTTTTTGTTTTTTAGCAAAGATGTGCCTTTTTAACGCAGATATCATGCTTCACGAGTGAGATTTTCCATTTTAATGCCAATTATCAAATAATCTCTTTTTGGCTCATGCACAGAATCAAGGCCAAAAATCAGGCATATTAGAATTATGTAGCCTAAATGATTTAGCAAAGATGGCGCCCCTGGTGAAACTGCCGAGACCGAGAAAAGACTCGTTGTAATAAAATTTTCTTGTAATTTGAATTGATTTTTCATGACACGAATTTCTTACTTTTTCGTCACTCGCAATTCATTTATTGTATATATCCCGTGTTTCACGCATTTCCAGAAAAGAAAACCTGGAGAAAATGAGGAGGAAAAATCAAGATCGGCAACAGGATAACGAAAAGCACCGGCGTTCTTCATCTTCCATCAACAATATCATTCAAATCCGGAAATTGACTGCGGCGGCGGAATTGGGGTGAATCGGCAACAGCGAAACCCAGACGCACTTGAGCAGCAACCCCGGAAGCCAGCAGATGGTGGAAACAAGTTTCTTGTGCCCAACAGCTTCAGAACGAGCTTCCAAGACCTCCTGCAAGTGCTTCTTGTTCAGGTCCTTCAACGCCTGGTTTTCAGCCCTGATGGAAATGGGAGAGGAAAAAAGTGAGCAATTGAATGCTGAAAATTGCTGCACGTTTAAATGCTCTGTTATCATTGGGAAAATGCCTGATGATATACACACACACATGAGCCCACGTGAGCTCAGAGTTGTAAATAATAAACGACTCTGAACTGGGTCATAGAAAAAGAATATAATAAAAGACTCTGAGCTGAGTCGTAAAAAGATTTAAGGAGTACACTTCCTGGTACTTCCTGGTACACCTGACCTTGCCCTTGATATTCTGGAGTATATAAACTCCAGGAGCATCTTCCCAAAATCAGGCATTAGTGCGCTGACCATGGAGTAGAATCCCAAGTAGGAATCCTCTGAGGTCTTGTCTTGTCTTGTGTGTTTATTGATGAAAGTCAATAAATTATAAATACTGCTGGAACTCTGTTTTACTTCTGCCACTATAAAGGAGATACCAAACCTTAAATATAAAGAAGTGTAAATATACACAACAGCTCTGTTGTATATTACCATACTCTCTATTTTGATCTGTATGTGCATGTTAGTTTTGGAACCATGGAACATTTGCTGTGCCGCTGCATTTGAAAAAGTTTCTTGTGGGAACTTTGAACAATCCTGCCCTTTTAACATACTGTACAGAGGTTACTGTATTCAAATGCCCATGTGGAACCAAATACTGAGGCTTCTATACCAACTTCTTGAAATTCAACGGATAAAATTTAAAAAGGATGCATTTCTAAAGTTTTTCAGAAGTCCTGGATAACTGTAAAGCATCAGATGCTGCATTAGCATATTGATGAGAAAATTTCAAGAATGAAGTTGAAAACACACTTTAGCTTGAACTGCATTAGATCACGTCATACCAGGTGCTGGTGCCCAACTCAAAACTTGTGGCAGGCCACATGGCAAGGAGGAGAGTCTCCAGCACAAGACACAAATTATGGATATTTTGTTGTTGTTGCGCAACTATCTGATATAAATATACCAGTATATGTACACTTTCTTCCCTTCCCTATTCACAAAAAATATCAATAATGAAAATTTCATCATAAAGCAGTTACTAAACCCAAATTAAAGCACAAGGTGTTCAACCTGCTCCCAGATAAGGTTCAGTTGATTAAACAATTTGGAGAGAATCTTTGATAAGAAATCATATAAGGTTAACAGATTATCTAGAACCTCTTTAATGTTTTGAAAATAGTCTTTTCATTGCATTTTTGAGAGTCCCAAATCTTTTTGAAGCTCATTTCTGTAGCTTTGGAATGCTGGGCGTAAGAGAAGAAGGTGCTCTGGTGAAAAATTAACCAATCTATATATACTGCAGAAATGACACTGCTTGGATTTCTTTAAAAACTTGATGAGTTTGTGGAAAGAGCAATGGTATCATGTACCAACTGCCAAGGGAATGATAAATATTACTAATAGTAATGTTTTAGTTTTGCCACAAGCGAGAAAAGCTTATTAATTTACCTAAATGAACAACATCTCAATTATGACAAAATTGAGCAATTAGGATATTTTCTCTGTCTTTATTGATGTTCAGCTTGAGAAACTGAACAAAATCTTCTGCTGATAATGTTGTATCTAATTCTGGGTGCAATACAGATAATTTTACAAATGTCTTTAACCCCTTTATCTTCAAGAACAAGGTGTTCTTGATTGAAGTAGTTAAATTGGTCTGTAACATTCTCAAAAATGGAAGTGTGTGGTAGCTATAGCATGGCAATTGTCAAGGGCCAGACATTAATGCTCCACAGGCTGCATGTGGCCCACAGACTGTTTCTTGGGCACTGTGGTACAAATATAACTTTATTTGACCTCTCAAATAGAAAAAATGCTTTGACTTCATCATATTGAATCTTTTAAATTCTAAAGCCTTGGTATAATGAAATTTCCAATTTATCCTCATCCATTAATACAATTCAAACCTGACTCAAAACGTTTTGGGGGTTATCCTCCCTCAGTTGAATTTTCAATGCCTTTCTGCAATTGCATTTATGAAATTGGAGCTAGATATAAGAACATATACATATTCACTCAAGTACCACACGCACCTTTTTTCTAAAATTTTAAAAGAAAAAAGGGGTGCGCATCATAAGTGGGTACACATTTTTCAAGAAGTCTTAGGAATTTATGTGTGCATTATACTTAATTATAATGGGAGAAATTTTGAACAAATGTAACAAAAAAACGTTTTTGTTCTGAAAAAGTTGAAAATTGATCTGATTTTTGTTCAATTCATGTCTAAATTCAATTTATTGAATGTTTTTCAAAATTTTGTGGTTTTAGATTCACTAAAAATTGGGTTGCATGTCTCACTTGGGTATAAGATTTTAGCCAAATTTCCAACTGAAAAACCCCTGTGCACGCCTTACTCAGGGTGCGTGGTACTTGAGTAAATATGGTATACTGTATTCCATAATACCAAAATGAAGATGCATTTTCTTTATGCCCTCCTGCATTAATGAATTGATTTGGTTCTTCCTTGAGGGATGACATCAATGAAGAATGAACAACTTTGATTGTTCAACCAGAAAATAATTTCCATCAATGAACCTATACAGTACAAAGCAAATGTTCTCATCAAAAACGAATTTTTTGGTATCTCCTCCAATTCATCATGAAGACATCAATGGAAAATCAACAGTGGTGATAATATGGCCAGAAAATAATTTCACTTCAATATCAACCCTACGAAGCAAGTGAAGCTAAATGACCTTGCATGAAGAAAACAGAGAGGGACTCTTCAGCAAGTCGAATTATTTAGAAGTACCCTTCAAAATTCGTATTGAAGAACGTTAAAACTGTGTGTGTATTCCAATAATGGTTTGTACTGTACCTCAAAACGTCCAGCATAGCTGAGATTCCATCCCTGCTCGCGTTGACGTCAGCCAGGGTTTCATTCAGGTCTTCAATGGTTCTGTTGAAGACCTCGGCTTCTTGTTGCTGCTTTTGTATGCTTCGTTTCAACAGAATATTATCTTCGTGCGTCGTGACCAAAGAGCTGAGTGAGAGCGAGATCAAACGGAATGAGAAGAAAGGAAATTTGAGAAAATTGGTTCCCCGACTCCGCCGCAGGATGATGAACATTTTTTTTTTCATTTCAAGGAAAGGAGTGAACTTTGACATGTATACGAGGGTTGTTTCGTAAGTTTGTAGACTTTTTGACATAGATCCAACGGATTTTTTAAAAATTCCGAATTTTTTTATCGCATAGCTACTTTATTTGGCAACACTTCGGCACTGTTCAACTTTACTCTCCGCCAATTTTAATTATTTTTTCCGTGCAATAAGTCCAACTATCAAAACAGTGCCAAAATCGAGTTCTGTTTATTTTTTATTTAAAGAAAATCGTCGATGAAGAATATAGCTCAATCAACTGAAGGAACTCGCTTTTTTGGCACTGTTTTGTTTGTTGTACTTATTGCATGGAGAAAATCATGAAAGTTGGGAGGAGCGCTGAAGTGTTACCAAATGACGGGGCTATGCGAAAAAAAAAATTTCGGAATTTTAAAAAACTCCGTTGGATCTATCATATGTCAAAAAGTCTAAAAACGTACGAAACAACCCTGGTATTTACTTGTTGAGTTCTTCATTCTTGAAAGCCAGGTCTGCAATGGTTGACTTTGCTCGGGTCAAGTTCTCTTCATCAAGGGAAACTTCGCGTTGCAGGATCGTGTTCTCCTCTTCTAATGCTGCCACTTTTGATGTCAGATTCGTGACGTTGTGTGTCAGTGCTGCGACTTGGTCTTTGAGTGTAGTCATCTTGTATATGTTTTAAGCAGGAAACAGTGTATTTGAATATTTCGTAATTGTGTTTTCGCTTTCAATACAGTATTTAAATAAAACTTTACTACAACATAAAAAAAATACAGTGAGACACAGATGCAGAACAATTGATATACTGACTTTTGAACTCAATTCTGCCTAGACATGTGTATGTATAATGTCTCAAGACAGACATTTCATGGAAAAATTCAAAATTTCGGGTCTCTCTCGAACAAATAATGAAGTATTTTTTTATGGGCAAGATGACGTGTATTATTAATCATGAAAATGCTGGGGGTATTTTTTTTTTACGATGACAATGACTAAAGCGTTGCACGTGGAAATGCCCGTATAAAAAGGGAGAATTTTATGTTTTTAAACATTTAAAATAACAATTCTCATCTGATTTTGTGACGATACCATTTGCACGTGCTCAGAAAGATTATTTTCCGTTTGCAGCAACGAATCCGTCGTGGAGGACAATTTCAATTGCAATTCCGAAACAGTGACGGTCTTGGAAGCGGATTCTTCTTTGAGGAGACGCATGATATCCTTGCATTCCCTGGATTCCTCGGACACTTTCCGGATTTCCTGTCGTGTGAGAACCATTTTTCAAGTGAGTAAAGATGGTTTCTTTTTATTTTTTCAATGAAGACGAAAATAATTCCCGAGACATGGGGGGTTTGGAATAACCCGAACCTCTTGGAGACTTCTGGACACGGCTTGTTGCTCCTCCAGTTGACTCAGGGCACAAGTGAAGTCTTTCTTGTAGCTACCTGCTGAGCATCTTTCAATTTCCGCCTCAGCCTTGCTGGCTTTCAGCATCAGCAAGCTTTTGTTGTACTGTGTGGGAGCAAAAAAGCTAGATTTATTTTTGTTCACGTATACTGTCACTCCAAAAGAATAAGAAAAAAAGAAGTTTTGCCCTGAAATAGATTTGTATTCATCGAATACAAGCACTGGAGGCTTATCTGAAATATTGGACCCAAGTGGAGTCAATGCATAAAATATACAGTTCAATATACTTCCTGTTGCAATAAGCTGGAAATGAAAAAAAAATAATTTGAAGTTCTCTCAATTGAGAGGATGTGATGTAAAGCAGTGTTCCCCAACCTTTTTGGGCCTGCAGACTGGTATATTTCCAAATACTTTACCAAGGGCCAGCAAATTTCCCAAAAAATTTCTACAGACTGGCAAAGTATCATACAACTGTTGTAGAATGAAAAAAATTGCTTGAAAGACTTTTTGGTAGACATTAAAAAAAGTTTCTGCTTTTTTTGCAAAAACTAAGAACTGATGAAGCAGCTGTATGGTGTAGTGTCTTCAAAAAATTAAAAAGGTGTTCTGGAAGAAAGGTTTCTCAGAATGAAATATAGAAATAATCATTTCAGCTGGTGATACAGTATTTTGTCTGAAGTGCATTTAGGAGAAAAGCCCACTTTTTTTCATCAGATAATTTAAAATCTAATTGACTTTCAAAAATTTCAGATAAAGAGGCCCGACTTCATTGCTACTTCTGATAAATTCACTACGCTGCAGGAAATTTTCCTTAGATCTGCAAAAATCTTTGGGGTTGGGGACCACTGATATAAAGCATTTATAGTAGTTTCCTGTTATCTCTGTACCTCATTCCTAGACCGCACTACCATCCACACAAATCTTTAGGTGTTAGGTTAGGTCAGGTTAAATTGGTCAGAGGGAAGGTACAGAGATAACGGGTAAGTACTGCATCTATAAAGCAAGTCTTGTCATTCCTTCTTGTTAGCAGACAATACTCAAGGCAGTTCTGTGTATCCTCACTTTCATGTCCTTGATGATGCACTGTGCCAAGTTATGCAACCATTTACTCCCTGGTCTGACCAGTTTTGCCCTATCTCTTAATATGTGCACTCACGGGTCACTACTTGGTTGCTGGCAGTCATAATATGCTGTTCTATCCTTGTCAAATACAAGAATCTTGGAAGTCTAATTTTCCCCTTGGAAGATTCCTTTGCCATTCTTGCGATTTTGACACAACTAACCTTTGAGTGTAGATCCTGGTACTGAGATGTGAGTTCTAGGAGTCTCTTCTTCTTTTTGCGATAGGAGTACACAAGGATGGTCTGCTGTATTTTTTTCACTGCGTCAAGTTTGCTGCTGTCTGGGGCTTGTTCCAGGTTGGGCATTGTTTTCTCCAGCCTTTCCTTGTCAGAAGTGACGCCCCTGAACATTCTGCTTCCAAAATGCAAATGCAAATAATGCATTGAAATGATCAGTAACTATGCATGTTGAATGAAGATTAATTTTGGGTCTCTTTATATACTTTCAACCTTTAAATAAGATATGATTGAGAATTTTATTTGAAGTAAGTTTGCGTTAGCTAAATTCTTTGAAAATTATGTGATGATGTGTGTGACTTTTGAATTTGATTGAACAGCAAGCTTCATAACCGCTTTTCAGCATTCACAAGGTTCAAGCAATGTTCCCACATCTTAACCCACCAACATTCATCTGAACGTATTCCATCACATCAGAAAGGAAAACAGAGAATTAAGCTCTATATAATACAGTATTAAAATAAAATACTTTCCAAAATGTGAAATTGCACAACTGATGTAAATACATATACACTTCCTTCCCTTCCCTGATGACACAAACAAAATATCAGTGATAGGAATTTGCAGCATGAGGCAATTGCTGAACTCAATTTATAGGACAAGGTGTTCAGCTGGCACCCAGATACAGATCAGTTGAATAATCAATTTGGAGAGAATCTTCGATGAGAAATCATATATGAGGTTAACAGTTTATCTTGATTTTGAGAAGAGTATCTTCATTGAATTTTAGTAGTATCAAATCTTCTTGAAAAGCTCATATCTGTCACTGTGGAATGCTGGGCATAAGAAAATAAGGTGCACTAGTGATGCATCAACCATGTGAATTTCATGTCACATGTGTAAAATTAATTTTTGGAGTAGATTCAAACTCTGAAGTACCCGTAAAGTATTTGTTATTTTATTAGGGAAATATTTGATGTTATATATAAAGAGGAAGTGAAATTGATGATACAGTAAAATATCTTCTGAACAAAGCCACTTGGGCCATTACTATGGTCTTCCTGTTACAAAAAATTGTTTAAAATCTTACTAATTTAGCAGTGTTGCTGTTTGGCAGGAATCTGAAAAAATGACTTTTTTGTGTTATTATTTGTTGTAACAAGATTGGACGTACTGTTAGTGAATTTTACTGTGTATTGAAACTGTGGAATAAAGTGGGTTGACAGGATGCTCAACTTGTATAGGCAAGGGTTCATATGTCCAATAAGTCACATAATTCCTCTGAAAGTCCACCCATCTCAACTTGTCCACCCATCTCAAAAGGAATTCCCTACAACAAAATTATCTTAATGCATTTTTCAGCTCAAGGATTGCTGCTTCTCTCTTTCCTGTTTACCCAGAATCATAGCTTAAATGAATCTGAATTTCAATTTTATAGGTTTTGGAGGGAAATTCTTTCATTGGCAAGGTTTAAATATACTGAATTAGAATAGAAGTTTGACTTGAACTTTGTGCATCGTCAGTGAATGAATACACTACATTAATTAGAAATGTGGTATAATGATCAAGAAGGAAAAAGTCTGATAAAAAGACTTTTAATGATGGATTCACTGGGGCAATTAGGTCAAATAAATTGGATTTGTAAAGGAGGATTTACCTAAATTAAGTATACAACCGAGTTGTTTCCTAACGACACAAAATTGTTTGATTTCTGTAAATAGACCGTGGGATATATAAACTAAACTATAGAACTTATAGAGGGACGTAACTTAACAGTTGGGTGTTGAAAACAAAAGAACTCCACTGGTTGGTCCCATCCACAGTATTGAACAACCTCGAGAAATGTCACTGAAGAAATGTAACTTCTTTTTTTTACCAGTGAAGGAGAATGAGAAGTTTTAACCACGAAATTCTAGTGGGAAGTGACCTTTTGAAAATATACTCTTCGAAGAAGGTTAGTTGAAACCCACGGACGCGAATTTTTGTATTCGTATCTGTGGCTGGCTCTTGCGTTGGAAGTAGATTTAGAGTGGTATCCTTTGAAGTAAGAGGAATTTGCTACATTTTTCCCTGTGACGATTTTGTGTCACACTGTCTATGTATTTCTTACGTAATATATATTTTTTGATAAAGTCCGTCCCCTCTGACCCCACTTTCCTCATGAAGTCCCTCGCATTCATGCAAAATTATTCGAAGGGACTGAAAGGCAAATCCCAGAAAAGTGCAGTGGGAGATCAAAATAATATTGTATATTATATTCACCAGCATTTGCAACTCAAGATCAGTGCTTAATTTTTTTGAAAGTAATACATAGACTCTCGAATTTATTGATTTCTCCAAACCCGTGGACAGAAAAAGATTACTTCAGCCTAAGACAGAAAGTTAATTGAAATTTGAATGCTCATGAATTAGCAGATAGTTTAGTCCCTCTATGCACTAGACAATTTTTTTAATTAGCTGGATGGATGGGAAAATGTTGGGAGAAATGACAAAGAATGCTTCTTTCATAAATTGCAAGAAAAAAAATATTTCCAACCCTATCAAGCCTAATAAAAGTCAATTCTGGTGAAATTTATTGGCAATTTCATCATGCATTGTCCTCATGTCAAGTCAGTGTCCATATGTTGGGACTTTTTTAAGCCCTTTTTATTAAAAAATAAATGTCCCTGTGTCAAATTGTCCTCATGTCAAGGTGTCTGTATATGAGGGTCTCACTGTACATATAATGTATATATACAGTACTAGGGGAGGGGGGGGGGTGCCCATAGCCACACCTGGGCAAGTGACACCACAGGAAAATATTTTTTCAACATATTGAAAGGATAATTTTTTTGCAATTCAAAATGATTTATGGATTTAATCAATCTTAATTAAATCGATCTTGATATTGATTGCAAGATTTTTGAATATATATACATTGAAGGAAATTTTAATATTAAATATTTTTATAAATATTTCAATATGAGAACAGGTTACAGAATGAAGGATCATTGATAGTCTTGTACAGGTGAACCTCAAAAAGTCAAACCTCTGTAAGTCGAATTCTTCCTTAAGTCGAATTTTTTTTCAAGTCCCTGTCCAAATTCCCTTAAAATCAGTACATTAAAAACCTCCCGAACTCGAATTCTTTTTTTTTCTAAAACCTCTGTAAGTCGAATTTTCTGAGGCCTTCTGCTTATTATTTCTGGGAAATATGAGAGAGAAAATGATTAAAACAAATACTTTGATGCATCTTGGAAGGAATTGAAAGACAAATTTAGCAAATGAACCCCTGCCTCCAAGTTCAGCACTGTAAAAACTCATCAAGAGGCAAGTTTAGGCCTAATAGAATCTCCGCATTTACAATTTCCTTCAATTCTTTTTACTAATCCTCAAAGCAAGAATTATCTTTTCCCCAATTCAAAGCCTGCAAAAATCAGAACCTCCCTAAGTCGAATTTTTTTTTCCTGGTCCCTAGAAATTCGACTTACAGAGGATCAACTGATGTACTTGGTATTTATACATGTTATGAAGCTAAGGTAAATTTTCCCTTATGGGTTAATTCTCAAGCATCCAAGGAGGAAAAAAGTATCATTACATTTCCCCATCCCCGAATCCGTCGCAGCAACTGCTGGAGATGTCGGTGAGACTCCAGCAGCGTTTCCCTGCCATCACCAGGGCCGGATTACTGGTGACCCTGTGTGTCACGATCCGCGGATCCGGATATCCGGTCCTGTTGCTGAAGGCCTTGATTGGCGTAGACGTTTCCAACGGCTTCCGGCTGCCCTTTCCCCCCGGCGTCATCACCAACTCCTCGGTTGACGGGCCTCCGTATAAATCCGTGTCGCTCATGGTTAAGATCGAGACTGAACAGCTTATCGTCAGAATATATTTATATATATATATATGTATGGGGTTAAATATTTATTCGTTCAGGGGGGGTTGGGGGTGTAGAAAATAAAGGGGGAGAGTTGATGGGTTCTGAATTGATCCCCGTAGCAGTGAATAAGGTCGAGAATCGAGTAGATTCTTCCCCCGAATGCGAGAAGTTTTTTGGGGAAATAAATGAGTCTAGAAGTTGTTGTGTGTGTGTTGGGGAATATGTTTTTTTTTTTTGCGGTGGGAATTTTCCGTGACCTTCACTGCGTTTTCCGCGGAAATACCTTTTTTTGTTGATTATAGATACCGCAAATCCTCGCCTCCTTCTTCATTATTATTTCCTCATCCGGATATAATCTTGTTTGGATGCCTCAGTCTAACATATACACAGTCTGCCCAAAATTGGAATAAGTCTCGTTATCTGTAAGGAATAAGTCTGTTTACCCAAGTTTGTGCCAATAAGCGAGAGTATGAAGTTTCCCAATTTACAAGCGCGCAAATAACGGTGCTTCAGGACCATCAGGCGATGAGACCATTTGTTTTCTCTCTTCTCTTTTAAATCAGTGATTTTTTTTGTGGTAAAAAGTTCGATATTCCAAATGGAGAAAACGGCAGAAAAATCGCGAGAGTAGTTTTTTTTTCAATTTACGTTATCTTCAGAAAGTGTCTTGAAATCGTGAAATTGAATTTGGGTGTTGGGGAAAAAACTTCACACTGGTTTTTTTCTTTGTACAGTACAATGAAACAAATGATTTGTTGAAGAAAATCGTGGATTAAACCGGGCAAATCCGGAAAAAATGTGAGAAATTTTATTTATAAATTGTTTATCTTTCCAAAATTCTTAAAAAAAATGCTGTTTGTATTTGAATGTGGGAACTCAGAAAAATGTTCGTCTAAGTGAAGATTTTTGTGATAGATTGTCCCTGTGGGAAAAATTGGATCCTAATTCTTCTTTTTTCATTTATAAGTTTTTGAGAATCACGTTCATCATGCCTGAAAAAATGCTGTGTTTTATGAAAAAAAAATGCGCAGGAACTTATTCGTGATCATGGTACTGTTCAACGGATTTCTAACTTGTTTTTCTTTCATCTGGGTGACCTGAGAAAGACCCGAGTACTGTATTCTTTTTTTTTCAGAACAAAGGAAAAGTCATTGTCGTGTTTGTTCGCAGCCTTAGTCTTGGAACATTCGCAAATCGTGAATGATGACGAAAACCACAGATTATGTGCTGAGAAAAATTGTCCTGACCTTTTTTACAGACACTTTTTGTTTATGATCTTGTTTTTTATTGAGGAAATGAAGGGAAAATGCTGCTTTCATCAGCTATGAGAAAAGAATATAAATTAATTTTGAGGAAATAACGGTGGGATAGAATCGCCATTTCTGGAAAGATGATTTAATTTTCAGAAAATGTTGATCATCTCATCTGGGTATGAAGTGGATACTTCTGTGCTATATGCGATGTAAACAAAGGTTTTTTTTAATGCTTTTACAAGGGCTGGAAATTTTCAAAGGTGTCTAAGTGGTGTAACTCCTGCAGCATAAATACATTAGTTTGTGCATCACCAGAGCACCTTCTCTTCTCATGTCCAGCACTTAATACTGATAGAAATGAGCTTCAGAAAGATTTACAGGTATTGGAATTCAATGACGAAGAGACCCTTTCTGAAATCTTGAAGGATCAAGATAAACTGTTGGCTTTATATGATTTATCATCAAAGATTCTCTCTAAATTGTTCATTCAACTAAACTTCATACAGAAACAAGCTGAAGACATAGTGCTTTAAATTAATTGTTACTGATATTTTATTTTCAATGTCGGGGAATGAATGGGTGTATGCATACGTGTCAGATGTCCAGTTGTTTTTCATGTTTGATTGTATTTTATTTTATTTTTGTTATCCATTTGTGCTTGGTTTCCTGCTCTTAAGTGATTGAATGTTCTTGAGTTAATTTGGTTGGGTGGGGAGGGGGTTTGGATGTGGAAATCTTGATTGAACCTTGTGAACTCTGAAAAAAGCAGCAAATAAAGTGTTCTGTTCATTCATTCACTCATATAGGTTAGAAATAGCTGATAATCACCTTTCAACTGAAGCAATTTGAGAACTAACAAAATCACAAAACAAACTGCCCATTAAATTAACTTTAAAAATACAGGGGTTAAGACCTTTTTTTATGAATGATGGTAGAACGTAGGTATTAGTTCATGTTATAATAGTCGTCTTCTGAAACAAGTCAAAGAGTTTACAACACCTCTTTTGTTCGTTCATTACGTAGTGGACTACTACGCGTGTAACTAAGGAAGTAAAAATTTCAATTTTGGCCACTCAGAGGCCAGGGAATATCCAAAATATTCTGAAATTTTCTGGTCAGATCACCTGACCAGAAAATTTCTGCTCAAATAAGTTGCTTTAAAGATATGCAGACAATTTAATCCATTGTCGATTGAAGCATAATTTTCATGATAATTTTTGGGTTGCATTGCGCATAATGTCTTTTAAGCAAAAATTCAATGATGTCAAGATGTCATCAACAGTCTGGATTCAAAAAAACAGGAAATATAATGGTGGAAAATTCTTTTGTGGCACTAAAATCATTCTCATCTTGAACTTTCAAGAGCCTCAGCTTTTTTCTTTGCATATAGTGATGCCTATTAAGTGGCTTCGTTGAATATATATTCATCATCAGGCTTTCCATCTTTTTCTCTCACCATAGCGTCGAAGACCAGTACTGCCTGCGGCCCCAGCGGAACCTGTAGCACTGTTTCAGGGACTGCAGCTGTCAGTTGTCGATGAACGGGCTGCTCCTACCGTCGCACCGGGCCCACAAGGTCCGGGTGGGCCAGCTGTCCCTCGGGGTCGTGTCAGCCGGGCTGGTGGCCATGGCCGTCATCTCTGTCAAGGAGTACTTGGCGACCAACGAGCGGGAATTGCTCCGTGACTTCTGGATGCACTTCTTCGTCATGTTCCAGGACCCCCTCAACCTCCTGAAGTTCGTCCTGGACTCACCGCGGAACCTTTCAGCGCGGTTCCGGGCGGAAGGAGGAGGAGGCTTACACCCATGACATATTCCTTGCCAAAAAAAAGAACAAAACTTCACACTTTATTCGCCAACAATGCTGCAATTTTTTTTCCTCTGGATTTTTGATTCGAATTCAGTGAAGGGTTGTTTAGGAGTATTATAGGACAAAGCTGGAATTTTGTTGTATTTTAGAAAGTTTTCAATTTTTCCTGTGAGGAGAATTATTAACAATCACTGTACAGCATTTTTGAATCAATAGGCTGGTCTACATTTTGAATGACATTCTATATCAGTGTTCCCCAAACTTTTTTTGGGCCCGCAGGCCAGCAAATTTTTCCATAAAATTTTTTGCAGACTGGCAAATTCTCAGAAAATGTTCTGCAGACCAGCAAAGTTATTTTTTTAAATTCTTGTACTCCAAAAAAATTTTGCCTGACATGCTTTATGGCAGTATTGAAAAAGTATATACTTTTTTGCAAAAAAAAAAATTGGTGAATCAATGAAGCAGGTATTGTCCAATTTCTTCAAAAAATTATGCAGGTGGGCTTGAACTTAATATTTAATTATTCTGCAGACCAGCAAAGTTATTTTTTTTAATTCTTGC